ACCCTGTATATATACACAGGGTGTTTCACGAGGAAAGGTCAATATCTTGGAAGGTGATAGTATCAATTTTTTAAGTAAAAATGTTCATGTGAACATGTGTCCTATTTCGAACGGTTTCCGAGATAGGACGAATTTGGCATATAATTGCCTCTGTACCTGCTGCACAAAATTGTTGATAAAAAAGAAACACTATATACTTTTTTAATAATTTATTGTTCAACTGATACATTTTTAAAGTTCATAATAAATTTTCAAAAATTTCACTGTTAACATCAATGTATTTTTCAACTTTTGTAAGAACATGACGTATTGCTTGCCTGAGCACATCTTTTTATACCAGTGAAATTTTTGAAAATTTATTATAAACTTCAAAAATGTTGAACAATAAATTATTAAAAAAAGTATGTAGGGTTTCTTTTTTACCAACAATTTTGCGCAGCAGGCACAGAGGAAATTGCATGCCAAATTCGCCCTATCTCGGAAACCGTTCGAAATAGGACACATGTTCATATGAACATTTTTGCTTAAAATGATACTATCACTTCCCAAGATATTGACCTTTCCTTGTGAAACACCCTGCATATAAATTTTCTAACGCAAGAGAAAATGAAAACGCAAATATAATTGCTGTAATCGCTATTTTTGTAAATAGTAGAATATTTTGTATGAGGTATGTAAATATGCTCCGTCCATCGCATTGACATAGTTATTTCGAAAATTCGTAACCCTCGAATACCTCGCCATTCATATATTTCGCTACTCATGATTATCTTGTATTTATTTATTCTAATCGCCCATCCCAAGCTGTACTTTGACTTTTGTGATTTTACAGGACTTCGATAATCCACACTGAATGTTAGTGAACATATATGCCCTGATAGCAAAATATTAGCAATTTGTGCGCAAATTGGCAGCAACTCAAATTTTGATTACAAAACCATAGCCATCTATGTCCGCATTTGGCTATGGATTTGTCGACAAAGCCTGCTGACATGTTTTGCTAGCAGATTGCTAACAAAAATCGAGCAGAGTCTGCTGATATAATCTGACAGCAAATTGTGAGCAGAAACCGAGCAGAGCCTGCTGACATGACCTGACGGCAGATTGGTAGCAAAAACCGAGCAAGATCTGTCATTTTCATTTAAATCGATGCGGGCTTTGGGAAGTAATCCAGAGACAGTCTTAACCCTGTAGAAAGCTTTTTCATGACAAACTATTAACTCTCGATTGACAAATGATAATTATGCGATATATAATTGAAATTTCATAGAAATATCGTATTAAGAAGAGGAAAGAACACGTTGTTAAAAATAATGTAATTACTTTCATCTTTTGGAAGTGAATATCAATAAAAACTAAATGTTTGTTTGCAGAAAGAATACAATTATGACGAAAAACGGTAATTTTACTCTTTTTGACTACTTTTCGCGCAATCCAAATATTATTGGTTAATTTTAATTTCAGATTTGGATTCAGCATACAAAATTATATTGAAAATGACTATTGTACTTTATTTTCAAAAAAACAGTGGAGATTGGAATAATGAAAAACATCGATCGATTTACCCCCATGGTTGTTTCTATCGAAAGAGATCATATTTTCAAACTTTGTTACAATAATCATAAATTAAACACACTAAAAATTATCTAAGGCTCATAATTATCTACGATTATAATCAAATCTAGTAGTATCAAAAACTAATAAAAACACAAAGGAGGTAAGTATAGTGTCACTGCACTTGTTTAGCGCCGTGTCTCCTGATATCTGTGATATTTTGATATACTGTGAAATTTCCGCGTGTATGTACACATAGAAATAAACATTTCTCATATATAATATACAGTCTCCATCAAATTATTATTAATCATATAATATATTATAGGGGAAACTGATCTCGGTATTAAAGGTAAGTAAATTTCATACATCAATACTATAATAGCAGAAAATTTACAACTTTGTCACAAAATATTGTATATTGTATCATTTCAAAATATCCCCGCATATATTTCACGGCATTTATCAACTCGAAATATTTTTATTTATTAATTAATACGACAATTTAGAAAAGAATTTTAAAGAATTGAAAATTTCGAATCTCATATATTACACAAATCTTTACTTGACTGGTTGTCATAAAACTTTTAAATCCATACTTTGGGGGCGTTCGGCATATCAACATAGCGTCAAATTTCACGAACTGTCCGATAATTAATCTGATACTATAATGAACAGTATTAGTTGAATCGGAGTCGTTGATTTGAAACGGTCAATATGAGAATATTCAACGTGTTTGGGTTCCTCAGTATCCTTTGCATCAGTTACGATCAATCTTGTACGTAAGACAATAAACTAAATTAAGATAGAACTATTTGCGCAATTACGTATTTTTTAATTCAATAATGTTTACGTTATTGATATTTTTAAAATAATTTTAATATTATTATACAATTCTATCGTTTCATAAATCATTTTAATAAAAAATAATATTTAAATTAAATAATTAAATAATTTAATTTAAAAATGATTTTTTGATCGATATATTTGTGAATTATAAATTAGTGTGAGTACCTCTAATGTTTTCATAGATGCTTTGTCGATCAATGCGAATTTAATGAACAACGTGAATACATGGAAATGCAAGAAATTGGAACAATCTTCGCCATTAATGCGCCTTAAAAATCATCTCTTTTGCAATTATGATAGTACTGTTCATCCGAATTATCCTAAAACAACTAATGTCACTATGCACTTAATGCCGAAGTTAATAAATTTCGTAAGTATACAGTTATGAAGATATTACAATATATAAATTAACAAATTAATTAAAAAAATGGAATAAAAATTATAATAAGCTGAATATTATCCTCTAAATATATACAATTTATAGAAACTTTGTAAATTTGACTTCTCTATTTCTTGATATTAAATGTATTTTTTAACAAAAGAAGCTTTACCATTTTCATGTAAAACATAAATTTTAATAAAACATTCATTTTCTCTCTAATATTTGATAGCTATTTAATATATTGCGATGTATAAAAATAATTAAGCAATTTTTTTTACAGCAAGGAGAAGGTAAACTATCTTTGCACACTTGGATGTCACTTGTGAGTGACCATTTTTTTGACATTATATCTCATCCTTGTTCTAACACAGTAAAATATTTGATATCTTAATACAATATTTCACAGGCTTGGACGGACTCGCAACTTACTTGGATACCGAGCGATTACGACGGGATTACTTTTATTCATGTAAAAAGCTGGCGGATCTGGATGCCTAGTCTATACGTCAATGATTCGTAAATAAACTTTTGAAAATTAATCCTGGCCTTTCTATAGACCGTTCAAGGCATTTAATTCTACATCATATCTTTAAATCTTTAATCATTTTTTTCGATCGTCTTAGCGGTGAGATGTCGAGTGACCAATATGAGCTACCCGTAACAGAATGTTTGCTCCTCAACTCGGGCTCTGTCAGTTGCGTGCCGGCGGTAAAATTTATTTCCAAATGCAATCCCGATTATACTTATTGGCCTTACGATAAACATCAATGTCGCGTCACATTTCTTTTGTGGATGCACACAGGGGAAGAAGTCGATTTGTTGATAGATGGAAATGGGGTATGCGCTTCAGTCAAAAATCATTTAATTCCTTAATTATTTGATCCATTATTATCATTGTATTATCATTACATTAATAGTGACTGTTATTTCTTATCTCCTCCAAATAATACTTTCTCTGTATGCGAATATTAATTTAATAAAATTATAAAGAAACTACATACTGCAAAAATCAAGTTAACGCATCTAACATTAATAAGAAATACTTTTATAATCGCATTTTTAGTATTTTTATCTTTTGTACAGTACTTATCTACGTAGAAAAGATTACTATTTTTTTGTTTTAAAAAAATAGAGTATTTAATCGCATCCACTATTGATTGCAAATATTTTTATTATAAAAAAATAATTCTTATAAAGATTTCTTATACAGAAAGTATTCTTTACAGATTTCTATGAGCGACTACACGAATGATACGAAGTGGGATTTAAAATTTATAAGTTCGATGAGGGAAGCCACAAAATTTAAGTGTTGTCCGAATGATACGTTCCCAAGGATCAATTATAACTTCTTATTGACGCGCCATCACGGCAAACATCACTTGACTGTTATTGTACCGGCTATCGGTGAGTAATTACTCAAAAATTACGCAAAAGTAGAAGCGCAGGGAATAATTAATATTAAACATGATACTTTTCTTTCCAGCTTTGATATTACTCACTTTAATAGTGCTCTGCCTTGACTTAAAATCGGTTGAACGAATGGCGGTGGCAAGTGCGAATTTTATTTGTCATTTGCTCTGCATATTCTTTTTATTTTGGATTCTACCATTCAATCGCGTTAATGCCCCCAATATATGTAAGTAATAAAATCTTAAATAATATCATCAAGGTAACGAATATTCCTTAATTTATAATTTCAACAAGATTTTTTCGTAACGACATTAGATTAATTGGGATCTGAATAATTTTTAATTTTCTGATTAATTACGTACTCAGAATAATGGATTACTTAAAAGTAATTATACTATTACTATAATTTAAAATATTTTTCGATTTAAGAAGGAAATTGCTGAAGAAAATATATAAAGTAAAGTATAAGATTATACATATTAACTAGAATTAAAATTCTAGGATATATTCAAAAATTTACAGTTTATCGTAAATGCCGATTAATAAGCATTAATTAGCATTAAAATTCGACCTTAAAAGACATAGTTTCAATTATATAATAAATTTTATTTAACAAATGCGTAAATTATTAACAAATTTACGTATTTTATGTTTTATCTTGCAGTGTTATTTTATCGTGAATCTTTAGCGTTGGCGACATTCGCGATGATATTGACGGCGATGTTACGCAAACTGGAAGATATGAGCACACAGATACCAAATTGGATTTTGTTCACTACGACATTTGTTTTAAACAACAAGGTTGGACGTTTTCTGATTCTCAAAAACGACAAGCCCAAAATGGCAGACAGAGATATAGAGACTGAAGGAAGCTCAGATGTTACAGAGTCTGAAATAAGCCTAAAGGAATCGTCCTGGAAATATTTCGTTGCTATTATTGACTGGTTATCCTTCTTTTGTGTAATTCTTACTTATATAATTATCTTGATTATTTTAATACCTGCGGATTAAATGTGATAAAGAATATTAACGTTAGAATATTCTTCAAAGTTTCGTTCGTTTTTCGTTATATCTTCTACAAATGGAACTCCCCATGACATTTAAACGTTATTTTGATGCTTGTATCTCTTATGTTATTATCTTAATTATTTTTTATCTACAAATATTTAAATCTATAGCGGAGATTGTTGACGTCGAATAATTTTTATTTTTGTTGTTTAATTTGTATTTATTTAAATAGAGATTGATTAACAAAATAGAAATTAAGTTTATCTTATGAATTAAGTATCTATATCTTAATCTGTTCAAATTTATCTATTTTAAGGTAACGGATGTATGGAATGCTACACTACTCGTTCGTATATTGTCATTAAATTGATGCATATGTGTTTCTAGAGATAATATACAATATATTAATGAAATTACCACATCTTCGTTACCTCAATAAAAACGTTAATTCATCATTCACCGATCTGATGCGCAACAGCGGAATTACATCTGCAACGTATCTACGATGATTCTATAACAAAAAATATAATATTCAATTAAATCTCTCCGACAGAAAAACATTCATTGCACAAAAAAATAATTATTAAATGCATGCAAAGTTTTCTAAAAAATAATCATGTAATTTTTAGAACATAATTTTTATAAGCATATCTAAATTTATTTTATTCATTATTCAAATATAGATATTCATGAAAATTATACATTTTCTAAAGACTTATCTTAAAAAAAGAATAAATTTTTATAAAATTTTAAAACAATTAAGATAATTCTTCTTTTTTTAATTATTTTATTTTTAAATCATTGTAAAACAATTCAAGAATAAACAAGAAAAAGATTAATTTTACATAAGTAAAAACATAATAATTACCGCACACCGTGCTCCACCGATGCCCGATGTCTCTCCAAGACCTCTTCCTCTCAGAACTAAGTTGTCATCTCGCACAGTATACTCGCAAATAATACAATACAATCGCGCGCGGATTAATTATTTTTTGAACAGAACTTCCAAAACGCGCGACGCGATAAACCGACTACGGTTCATTTTCAATTAAATCAGCGACGAAAGTACGTTAGCTTTGCGTCATTGGACTTTTACATGGAGAGAATAATTTTTGTTGAAGTGTCTAAAAATTTAGTTACATACATAATTTAAACAGAACCGAAAATTTTTTAATATTTTGGAAAAACCGTTCATTCGTATATATTCTTGGAATACTGAGCCCTCCCACTTCGTCAAGAGTCATGAGAGGGAAGATATCATCTAAAATATAATATACAAAATTATCTATTATATATACAATCAGATAATTTTTAAGAAAATCGAACGCATATCAGTTCGTTATTATTGATATCGAAACAATATCGAAACAAATTCAGAACAGATAGAAAAGATGAATCTCTTATAACTTATAATTTTTATATTATAATATTTGTAAAACATAAAACGAATAACACAGATTAATAAAAAAGAAAACATTCCTTCTATTACCGGCTTATTATTATTGCTGGCAAAGGATCGCAAAGTTACGTAGGATTTTTATATGCACATAACAAAGAAAAAATCGTTTTTAAATTTTTATAACACTTTTGCTTTTATGTATAAGATATCTCGTATACAAAATGCATATCATAACAAAAAATTCGTGTATATTTCAAGAAAATCCGAATTCTGGTTCTGCAGTAACAATCTTTACGCTTTTATTTAATAAATCTTTTAATGATACAATGTTTATCAATGGATCCTTGAACGAAAATTTAAATTTCGCATCTCCTACTGTGAAAATAAAAGTTGTTGAATATTAAGAAACTCGAAACTAAATATTCAAACAAGTTAATTCGGACAAGCGAATTTTGTCTTATAATATGCGCTTGCATAAAAATGGAATTACGAAATTATGTTTTTTTAAAAAATGCAGATTTTCAGCCCGTTTTTACCAAACATACTTACTAATACGTAAGTATATTCCAAAATCTATATAATCTTTAGCAATTATAAAGACTTTGAATACACTTCAAACTTTTCCAATCATATATCGTTAATTTAAGGTTTATTTAGCAAAAACGAGCTAGAGGCCCACCACCACCCCCGCCGATTTTATCGGCGG